AAGTTATTATTAGAAAGAGGTTACTACTCTTAGTACTAATAAGTCTTTATGGGCTTCTCAACTCCCAACAACTCTGGGAGGCATGCAGTTAAAATATATAAAAAAATACAACACTCAAAAAGAAATAATGAACTGTCCCCAAGACAACATACAATCAGAAAATCCATTCAATAGGATTCAGCCTACATGTTTCCCCAAAACCTGAAACATCTTCAGACTGGAAAAAATAGTCTCTTCCCATCTATTTGATAGTTCACTCCAAATTTAACTCTAACCTATCTTTTTCACATATTGTTCTCCTGTTTATACATTCTGCTTTTTTCTAACATTCTAATATGTTTCCCCCCCTTTCCTTTCTTTTTTTCTTAAAATATATTGCAATGAAAGAGAAGAAAAAAAGTAGGAAGAACGGTTAACATAGGCCAGCCAGCTTGAGCTTGTACAGAGCTCTGTTATGGAAATCAACATATCAGCATTGAATACTTTCCTTGCTATATTGTTTCTTGACTGTTTTTATGAGTGATCCCAAATACTTGCTTAAATAATCTTTTCTTTCTTGTTTGCTTCTAATTGCTGTTAAAATTATAATCTTAAACAGTCAGATGGCAGATGGTGCATGGTACCTGCCTATCTTCTAAAGAAGTATCTTGGCATTGTCATTAAACTTTCTAGAGTCTTGCACCCTCAAAAGAACAAAACTTTCCTTTTCTAAAATTCCTAGAGTAATTTATTGGAGGTCAACCTATCAGGTTGTACTATGCTTTCAGAGATATTCATTCTCTTGAAGCAAACATTACTTATCCAGATTTCTAGTTTTCATTTCCTGCATCATATGGAGCCTCATTAATCATTTCAGAAGGACAGCATTTGAAATAATCATTTTTGCAACATTCCTATTTTTAATGATACACACAGTGGTGCTTTTGTTTTTTCTGAAGTAGACTTGAATCTTAACAAGTATGTATAAATTTTAAACAACAACCTTTGCAAGAAAAATTGAATTTGCATATTATTGTGAACTCTAGCTCAACTAGCCAACAAGTGAAGCACATTTCAGTTATAGTATGTGTTTTAATGAGGCAGTTTTTATGTCAAAATACTTATTTTCAGTAACAATACCAATGTATCAAATATTTTCAAATGCTCTTATATGTCTATCAAACACTAAATGCTCCTTATTACTATTGTTGTTAGGTTTCCAAAGGATCATCTCTGAATTATTGGAAACTTCTCAAAAATTTTGAAGTACCCAAGAATCACTGTAGAACTCATTCTTAAATCATTAGGGTCAGTGATCAGTAGAGATTTTCAGTCATCCAGGTCATGGTTGTCCCAAAGGTGCTTTCTCAGGAGACAACTGGGCTTTCTTGTTTTTTTCTTTTGAAGATGTTTTGCTTTTCATCCAAGAAGCTTCTTTAGCTCTGACAGGATAGTGGGGAATGGAAGGATTTATATTGTCTGCAAGGAATATAAATCCTTCCCTTCCCCACTATCCTGTCAGAGTTGAAGAAGCTTAATCTCTCATATCAAGTGCTAATGCTTTGCCTGTCTTCAAATAGTAGCATTCTAACTACTAACTACTCTACATCCTCTAATTCAACAGGCTCAAAGGATTCCCAGATTATCACACATTTACTTATCACAATTCAATTGGCCTCTAGATTTGAGCTGATATGAATAATGTTATCAGCTAAGAAATGTGCAAACTAATCAGGCATATCTGTAGGAGCTTTGTCCCAACATGTCCATAGAAGCCTTCATTAGACTTTGGTCCTGCCTGACCTCTAGAAGCTTAAGTTTATGTGGGGATCTCTCTTGATGTCCATAATAATAATTTTGTGAGATAGATTGGACTGAGAGAAAGTGACTGAATTTGTAGGACTGAGGGGCCTTCTAATTCTATCAAATACTTTAAGCATTACACTAAAGCCACTGCTGATTCTAGGAAATTAGAAACAAAAATGTAGTTTATAATGTATTTTATTAAAAATATTTTGCTAAATTACTCATTATTGCCAATGTGTTGATTATTTTAATATATTTGATGCGAAACTGCATTTTAAGATTAGTTGGGAATTGCATTTAATTAAAAAACATACGTATTGTATTGATTGGAAATGGTTAGTTAAAATATATTTATCAGTTCTCAAAATTTTCTATTGAGTTTCAGTTTCTATCTTAAATCCAATTCAAAGCTAAGATTTCATGTTTTCAACTGATTTTTAATTGCAGTTCCTCGGAACTACTAATATTATTATGCTGCTTTCTGCTATGAACTACTATGAACTTTTGCTGTATTTTTGTTTTAACTTTTCTTGTGAGCTATTTTGTACATCCAAATAATTGATAATTATGTGTTAACCTTGCTAAACATTCCTTCCTTCCTTCCCTCCATCCCTCCTTCCTTCTTTCCTTCCTTCCTGATATTATTTAGCCCACAAAATTATTTTGATTCATTGGATAAAGAAAGAAGGATTATTTCTAAATTGCCTTGCAATGATTTATTTCTTAAACTGAATCTATACTATGCATGGCTGTAACTATTATCAACCAGGCTTTCCTGGTGGTAAATAATTATGTCCAAATGCCTAGAATCAAATCATTGTTTAAAAAACTCCTCTCAGAATGCAATCTTTTTTATTAAAATCAGTGATTTTTCAGCCATACATCTGTGATTTAAGTCTCATCATCTAAAAAACAATGATTTCCTTCCAGGAGGACTCAAGAACAAAAGCAATAATAACACCCATTGATCAGAACTTAATTAACCAACATACTTTTTATTTTTTTAAAATGCATCTATAAATAGTTTCATTCTAATACTTGAACATACTGTTTTGATTATGAGGATTCAATAAAATCTTCCCATGAAAAAAGTACATAGCTTATTGGAAAAAATGTTGCCAAGGGATATGGGTAAGATTCACAATGGGATTTTCACTTTATTCTGATGATCTTCTCCTCACAAAGGCTGACAGAACAGAGAAACCAATGAAGGATCTTGTAACATACGCTAAAGAGGATTCTAACTATATGGAACAGCCTAGAGAGATATGATGTGGCTTGGTATGTCCTTAAAGTAATAACTCAGGAATGGATTCACTGAATTTGGAATGACATGCTGGAGCATAATTTCAAGGGATTTTTTTTTTTAAAAACCCTTTAAACAGTTATTTTGATTCATTTGTATTCTGATGCCTGTATATACTCATGAAACCACATCCTTAAAAAAACTCATAGAAAGATAAGTAGAAATCACCTAAAACTTGGAGGGAAAGACTGATAAAATAGCAAAGCCAAACAAATACTGAGGAGGCTGGTGGTTCTGAAATCATCTTATAAACAATATTTGTAGCCCAGCACTGATCAATAAAAGCAGGCAACAGTGCTAGCATCACTGTGGTTATATTGCCACAGCTACAAAAGTGGAATTTTGTAATTCCAATTATATGAGTTGGGTGGATTGCAAGCCTGCAGGTGATTTGAATTTGGGTCATGCTTCTTATTGTACTGACAATAGATCAGCTAACAATAAACTTAGTAATAATTCTTAAAAATGCATGTTTTAATTATTTAATACAATTGGATTTATAATCTGCCCCAATTTAAAAAGATTCTGAATTGCTAACAGAACATAAAGTTAAAACACTGTATAAACTCAATAATGGGAAAAATTAAAAGAGACAAGCATGATCAGCTTTACTTTCATCCGAGATTGAAGGCACACTACAACTATATTGATTTTAATTGTTTTCAAAATATAACGGGAGTGCAGATACTTCCAGAGAAGATATTTCAAAATAGAAAGGGGATCTCTAGATCAAAAGTCATTATATTAGTAAAATTATAGCATTAGATTTCACACATTATAACACCCCATCACCATGGTTTGGCCAGAGTTAAGTTTTCTATTCTCCTCCTTTTTTGATATTTCACTCAAAAGCAGCAGGAGAAACTTGCAGTGGGAGGAACAGGCCAATTGTAAGGACCATCTACAATATACAGAGCTCTACCTGGAAAAAGAGATGCCTGGTGTTCAAACTGGCTTTAGAAAAGGCCAAGGAGCATGAGACAATATTGTGATATACACTGGATAATTGAGGAACTCAAAGGATAATTGAAAGAAGTTAATATATGTTCTATTGATTATAGAAAGACTTTTGATTGTGTCAAACTGGTGGACATACTTAGGAAATGGGAATTCTGGAACATCTCATTTTTTGTATCACAACTATCTTGAACTCAATGTACAGTCAGAACATTGTGAAACAAACTGGCTCCAAGTTGCCAAAAAAATGAGATACAGCTATATGATTTTCTCGTATTTTATTTAAACTATATTAGGAATATATATTAACGGAAGCAGAATTGGAAGATGAGCGTTGAAGGACCTGGAAGGCCAGGTTAGGTACAGATCATCATGGAGGACATCCGTGCAGTTGCTAAGAGGTGAGACTGATTTGGTGGCCCATAATCAACCAATCAGTTTATGCTAGACTGTCTCAGGCTACCATAAAGGAATATAATTATAGGCTATTTCTCAACTTAGGAAAAATGGCCTATTTAGTATGAAGATGACTTGGAGCTTAGAGTTTTTGTGGGTGACCGTAAAAAGTAATATTACTTATGATGGCAGACCTTTCTTAATCATTGCAGCTCATGAACTGCATACACCCTTATAGAAATACCAAGATAATCAGCTTCTTTGTAAACATGCCCTCAATATCATGGCACACAATAAAATATTTATCAAGATCATTTATTGCATGGCACTAACATCAATCTTGTTTTCAATTATGTTCTAATGAAATGCACCAATTACTGTTTGAATGGTGACATACAATTGTAATCTCATTCAGTAGATAAATCTTGCTCAAACAAGTTTTTCAGCATCCTTTCTTTCATAGTATTAATTACAAATATAAACAAAGATGCATTATTATCTTGGTATTCTGTAATAAATCCAGGGATTTAGTATAACATGCTCTTCTATTTGACAGCCTTAATCACCATGCAGTTTCTAACAATTATGCTGCACATCCATAACAAAATCCAAGGTTGGGGCAATAGATTCTGAACTTGTTCCTGTGACCCTTTATTTAAAATGATCTACAACTCCTTTTATATACAGGTAAGAAAAGATGCTATCTATTATAACATTTAAACTCCTTAAAAATCTCAAGTTCTTGATTCTCCGTTGTTATTTCTCTGTGTCATATAATATATGTGGGTATGTGGTTATATGCATAACTATTTATTTATTTATTTATTTATTTTGTCATGTTTATGTAGTGGATATTGGAGGTGGTGATCCCTTGAGAGCTGTACACAATGAAATTTCATTTTAATGTATGCCGATTAGTATACACTTAAAGGGACAAAAAAGTTATTCTAAGTCTAAGTTTAATGCTCAAGGCTTATCTTTCTGGTATATAAAGGACGAAGATTCATCATTGGCAGTCACTGAGCATAATAATTGCAAGCATTGATTAATTAAAAATATAGCACTGAATCTTGATGATGTTAAAAATCAGATGAATCCAGTAAACTCTCTTGATGATGAGTTAGATATTTTGGACCAAATATTATTTTAAGCCTCCCTGTACATTGCTAAAATCCAGACCAGAAACATATAAATAGTTTTAATACACTGAAATTAATGTGTAAAAGAGCAACAGCCTTGGGGAGTTTGGATGCAGAAGGTATGTGCAATGTAGCCTACACTATATGTATAGCTATTTAGATTATATATGCCAACACCATTCATTGGGGAGTAGTTTCACTTAACAGAGGGAAGGGGAATAATGCCCCTTTTCTGATTTGTGGACTTCAACTCCCAGAATTCCTGAGCCAGCTGGACTGAATATCCTTGGCAAAGGACACCATATACAGGTAATCTTTGACTTATGAACACAATTACATTGCTAAATAAGATAGTTATTGAGTTGTGCCCCATTTTACAACCTTTTTTGCCTAGTTATTAAGCAAACCACTGCAGTTGTTAAGTGAATCATGCAATTCTTAACTGAATCTAGCTTCCCCCATTGATTTTGCTTATTGGAAACCAGGCTGGGAAGATTACAAATAGTGATCATGTGACTCCAGGCAAGGGGTGGGATTCAAAAATCCCAGCAACTGGTTCGCTGCCCAGTTGTTGGGTGGGTGTGGCCTATTGGAACTTCCTGTTTCCAGCTTCCAGTGGGCTTCCAGAGCCCAGGGGAGGCCATTTTCGCCCTCCCAAGGGACCAGAGGCCTCCCCGGACCTCTGGGAGGGCGAAAACAGCCTCCCTGGTCACTGGAGGCCCACCAGAAGCTGGAAATAGGCCCATTTTGCGACTTCCAGTTTTCCCAGGAAGGCCGTTCTTCACCCTCCCAAGAGTCCAAAGGCCTTCTCCAGACCTCTGGAAGGGCGAAAACAGCCTCCCTGGCCTCTGGAGGCCCTGCAGAAGCCAGAAAAAGGCCTGTTTCCGGACTTCCAGAAGGCCATTTTTCCTCCTCCCAGAGCTTCTGCGAGGACCCTACACTTACCTCCATCAAAAATGGACCGTGTGGAGACTCCTGGGAGGGGCAGGGTGGGGCCAGCCAGTTGGTTGAAATACCGGTTCAATGAACTAGCTGAAACTTTAACATTCAGTTTGCCTGAACCAGTCTGAACTGGTAGAATCATCAGTTGTACTCCAGGCTAGTACAACTGTCTTAAATGCATGCTGGTTGCCAAGTGTCTGAATTTTAACCATGGGGATGCTACAATGGTCATAAGTGTGAAAACTGGTCATTAGTCCCTTTTTTCAGTATCATTGTAATTTTGAATGGTCACTTAATGAATGTAAGTCAAGGCCTACCTGTATCAGGTTTTCTGGGTTGACTTCTTTACTGCTATTCATCCCCAAATTATACTGGAGCAATGGAATTAAAAACAGACATTTATCTGTTTCTCTCTCTCTTTTTCTCTCTCTCTCTCCCTCCCTCCTTTCCTCTGTGTGATTTTAGGACAAAGACTTGGAATATTATTTGTGCATTCCTTTTAATTTTGAATTTAGATGCTTATGTGATGCAAACTCCCAATGGCATCTCACATAAACAAGAATGTGATATTTGCAAGTGTAGAAAAATCTAGGATGTTTGCAGTAAAATAGAGGTCTGAGATATATACAGATATCTGCATGCCCTCTCATCAGCCTTGGAGAAAAAGGTCAGAAATCCCATGCAATATCAACCAAAGTTTCTACAACAACCACAAGAAAAGCACCATATGTTGCAACTATTTCCTCAAAAGCAATACATCACAGGTATATTAGCAACATTTGAAAAACATTTGAAAACAAGGAAAAAAAACAGTCTAACTTTAGAGCATCAATAACAATAAAGGTGTACAACTGTAAAGGTTTTGCAAAGGTGATCTGCAGTGTGATTACTATATATTTTATTTTTTTACCTGACACTCTAAATTGGTTTCTCTACAATTTCTACACCAGCAATAAGCACAGTCCAGTTGTTCTGCTGGAAGATGTAATAAAAGTATAGAAGCAGCAAATTTTGCATTTTGCTATATTGGTAAAAATGAGGAAGGAAAGACTTTATGGTGTGCAAATACTCACAAAGAACTAGTGGATAGTATACATTCTGTTGCAAGAAATAAATATTTGTTGAAATAATTGAAAATGTCTGTATGCACCTGCCCACTTGTTATATGGAAATGATAACTGGTAATTTTAGGAAGTAAATGAAAGTAAGTTGAATGCCATGGAAATGGGTTGCTTGAGAAGTGAGTGTGTTAAAAGAAAGAGAGAGGGGTGTCAAGAATGACTTGGCTGGTGCAAAGGTAGTACAGTACGTTGAAGAAGTTTGATGATTACATATGCATTACTTGTTACTGTTTGCATTTTAAGTTTCTTGTACTGGTTTATGACTTTAATAAAATTTTGATTTGATTTGAAAGTTAAATGGAGTTGGTGAAAAAGAAGATAAGAAATTTAAAGACCAAAGCCAGTGCACAAATCAATGTATGGGTGCGATGGAAGCAAGGACACAAAGGCACAGAGACGTATGGAGAAGGTGCTGGTGTAAAGCAGATATTAAAACTCTTCCCATGTCCAAATATCCCGCCTTTACTTTCTTTTATACAGTACATATCTCTCTTTGCCTATACTCTACATTGCACTGCTTGTCCTGGAAAGGAATAATATGATCGGTATGTACCTATGGAAATTTTTTGGATAGTCAAAGGCTGCAGATACTAGGAAGAGGCTGTTAGGGAAGAAATTGAAAGTTTTACAGTTTGGGAGAAAGTGACTAGAAAAATCAAAAAGCACTCTGCATAAATGCATCTTAACAGTGCCTTTCTTTATTATCCAATAAATGTTGCTCTGGGGATCCTGATAGAGAATAGCTATAGAGAAATGCTTTCAACAATCAAAACCGAATCAAAGAAAATGATAAAAAGGATGTGAGTTGGAAATTCCCTATTGGAAATTTATAAAGGTGGTTTATATTTTAAGTACACCTTCTGCAACATGCTTCCTGCTTATTTTATTTCAAGATGGAATTGGCATATTGTAAAGACTTATGGTCTTCTTAAATTTCAGTGTCAGGAGTCCATATCAGCTCTCTTCCTCTTGGGAAAGCTTCACAAATCGGATAGGAACCCGATTTGTGAGGCTTTTGAGGATTTTTTTGAGGGAAAGAAGAATCACTGGGGATCCACACCTGGGGAGTGGAGATCTGTTTCTGAGCTTGATGCAGAGATCTCCCTACATTTCCAAGAGATGCAGATGCCGGGAAATGCAGTCAGAAAAGCATAAGCCAGGCATAAGAATGTTTCCTTGAAGAGAAAGATTTTTCTTAGGCACAATTAAGTTTCTGCAGCAGTGAAGGAGTGATTAAAAATATTTGAAATGGGAAAGGGCTTGAGTTACAATTCATAATTCATAAGCTGTAAAAAGTCATAATTCAAAACTAAGCTTGGAATATGTCCAAAATGACCAGGGTTTTTGCACACCTCTACTAGTAAGAAGCATTTCTTGCTGACACTGAATGATTAACAACTGTGCCTTGACTACAAAAGCATTAAAGCCTTCACTGCTGGAACAATGTATGACATTATTCTTACTGTCTGTGGTTGCTCTTTACTGCTCACCTCTTAACTCATGAACTCATCCATGCCGAGTCATCAAGCCCTTCACAGTATGTTTTTCAGAATACAATCTGACAATGTTTGACTCATTTCGTCTTTCTCTTTCTGCATATCTTCAGAACAAGCTCTTAGAGTAATTGATTCCTGACTAATTGGAGCCACAACCCTAAAAACATAACAATCAGCAAACACAAACTTAAAATCTAAGAGGAAAACCAGCAATAATATATAACCAAAATAATAATAAGATGTAATACTATGATAAAAAACTGAGAAACAGCTAAACTTTTTTCAGATTGAAAAACCTGTGGAAATTAACTAAACTGGTATTTGAGTCCGGCAGATCCCAGAAAACCTCAATATCTGACAGGTTGCCCATAAAAGAATAGCATTGCTGAATTGGACTATAACCACTGGACTCAGGTTTTAGGAGAGACAATTTGGAAGAAATTCCCCTGAATAGTGATGTGTTCTTCCTTCTTTCTTCTTGCTCCAGGTTTTTTGCACCAGTTAAAGGTTGCCCTAGTTGCCCTACAGGTTTTTCTCCAACTGCAAAATATAATGGCTCCAAAGAATATGGAAAAATCGTTAGAATGGTGAAACCAAAATGGCTACATAATACAATTGCAGATGAAAATGGATTACACTCACATTACACAAATTGCTCCCTGAACAGTAAATCAGGGAGTTTGTGTCTTGTTTTGAAATGTACTATTGTAGTCCAAAGATATATATAAGCTATGATTCTGCTTTTGTTCAGGGCTGCTCAGAAAAATGCCAATGTTTTGGTGGGAACATGATATACACTTTTTGTTATTTGTATGCCTAATAAAATTGTTGCATCTTCAGAGTGATTTGGTTGCTTTAGGCCAGTGCACACCTTTGTGGCTTAGTGACCTGGGGGGCGGGGGGGGCAGGAAACCAGGCCATGTGAGCAGCAGGGTGTACATGCACGCATGTACAACTCAACTTGTGCAAGGGGCAGGCTAGTGCGCACACACATGAACATGCAGCACAACTTGCACACGTGTGCATGCATGCCAGCCCATTGCTCACACAACTTGAGCTGCGTGCATGTATATGCTGTCCTTCCATTTAGATAGCCTGGTTGTGAATAGACCACAGCCCAGTAGTGGGCTGCATCTCAAGAGTTGGGGACTTCTGCTTTATGTGACTCAGGTCGTGGGTGCCACACCTGCTTTCTTTCTCTCTTTCCCCTGCTCTTCTGAGGATCTGGGTCTGCTTTAGAACCAATAAACAAAACAAACACACTTAGAAATGATGACTTGCAGGAAAAAAAAAAAACCTTTAATCTTCCTTGCTTAGTTCTTGCAATCTTATGACATTTTGTACTTTCTGTATGTTTAAAACCTGATAAAAGCTTTCAATCACCAATGAGATTAAAATTATTCCCCATACTAATTTATTGTATGTACTTTCCGAACGAAAGGTCAGCTTGTTAGATTTAAAGATAACTGAAAGAATACTGTAGCAGAAATGATGTCAACCTACATCAGGCAATTGTTTCTGGGATTGCCTGATTCCTTGAAACTTGAAATGTATACCTTCTGTTAAAATGGAAAATGGTGAACAAGACATATAGCAAGTTCAGATCGAACTGGTTTTTCAAAATAAGTGACAACTTGGAATAAAAAATGAGCTGACATTAAAACTGTGGCATTAAACACAGTATTGTCCTGCAACTTAAAAATGGATGTCCTGTTTATACTGGATATAAAGAATAAGGATGACCATGACAGAAAAGGCAGCTTTTGGTTGATGGGAACCTACAGATGAACTGAACATTTGACTAGTTCTAAAATGTTTCTGTTTTTCTATAAGGAAGGAGAATGTGCTAACTAGCACATTAAAATTCCACAAAGTAAACTAGTACAATTAGCCAAGTAATGTTAGTTGTTTATGGCATATAGACGTTTTGTCTTTGGAAAATCTCAATCAGCGATGTCATGGTTGTCTCAAAGGTGAACTTGAATTTTTGGTCTTTCCTTTGAAAATGTTTCACTTCTCATCCAAGAAACTTCTCAAGTGCTCCTGAACTGAAGAAGCTTCTTGGATGAGAAATGAAATGCTAAAAAAACAACAACAACAAGAAACCCAAGAATGTCCAGTTGTCTTTTGGAAAAAGCACCTTTGGGATAACAGAAAAGCACAAATAAAAACATCAACAATGTATTACATTAAATTTTCTAGCTACTATATTAATTTATAGTGAATTTAAATCTGAATTCCTGTATGTTGTACCTCCTGAAGTGAGCTTATGTTGTGTGCAAATGTTAGCTCAATCTGAAGAGCTCTCTTTGGGTGATGAATTGCCTATAACCTGACAGCTACTTCCAAAGAACACTTTAAAGACTTAACTTTGTAATGACTTGGCATGCTCATTTATGTAGAATCAATTGATAATGATCCCACCGACTTAAGCCTTCATTAACCATTTGATTTCTTTTGGCTTTGACTTCTCTTTTAATTAACTTTAATAATATGACAAAAATATCCAATATTTCACCCCAGCAAACATTTTATTTGAAATCCATAGATTATTTCAGACTTGTGAAAAAAGGATGGAAATTAACTGAAATGTTAGTTTTCACACTGTGGTTAATTTTCTCTTGTGGCTCTCAGTAGATGTTATTTGCCCTGATACTACCTTATATTTCTTAAAAAAATTATGTTGTTTTAATGGGAGTAACTGGCATGAATAAGACATTAAAAAAAGATCAAGTTATACATTTTCCTACAAAATTGGTTGAGTTTTGAAGATTTGATTAGTCAAATCCAGAAAAGAAATTGGCATTGAGGGCATAATTTTGAATATACTGTACTTACTAGAAATTAAATCTGTCTATGTATATATGTGGCTGCAAAAATTATTGATTTTTTACAAATGAAATACCTAAGAGATATGGTATATAGGATTAGCCTCTCTACAAATGGAGGCAGAATACATTGCTTTAAGACACTCTTAAAATAAGATTTAAGTACCAATCTTTGGTGTCAACAATAACTGAATTCTGATCAAAACTGTACATCACCAATCCTACAAATTAAAAGTACCCTGAGCAACTAACAACTACCATAGAGGCTAAGAACACGAAAGGAACCATATGGAAATAATAACCTATTGAAGAAAAAAGTGCAAAATACTGATACTCGAGTGATTCATAAATTTCATCAGAATACAGAATATAACAGAGTTGGAAGAAATCTTGGAGGTTTTCTAGCCCAACTCCTGCTTCTTGCAGGAGTCCCTATACCATTCCAGACAAATGACTCAGCAAAACTAGAATAATAGAATAATAATAATAAAATAATATCAACAGATTACATTATATGAGGATACCTTTAACACTATCAAAGAGTAACATCTGGCTTACTAAGTCCTTGGGAAGGGTTTGATAAGTGGATAAAAGTACCAATGTCTAAACATCTGACTGACTGAGTGATGAATCATATTGATATTAATATTACTATTAATATAATAAAAGTTAGTAGTTATTAATGAATATAGTATAAATTATATTAATATTAATGATAATAATGCAAAAAAGCCAGAATTGAGAAGAGTATCACAGATTGAAATACCACTTCTGCAAAGAAGGTGAAGAAGCAGTCAACCATCTAATTAACAGCTGTAAAAAGATTGCACAGATTGACTACAAATGGTATGACAAAACAGCAACAATTGTTGCATTGGAATATCTGTAAGAAATACTATTTTTCTGCGAGCGAGAACTGGTGGGACACAAAACAGACAAAGTGAGAGAAAATGAAGAAGCTAAAATGCTCTGGAACTGTTCAAATACAACTGCCTGTGAATGAGGAGTTTTTATAACATTGTCAACCATTATAATTGCATGGATTCCAAGGCCAATAAATATGCTAGTATATATTTTCTCCACTGGAAAGAGAAAAAAGATAATTAAGGTAACCAAATCCACACAGTAAGTACCATGCAATCTTAGCATTCACACTTCTTTCCTCACAAAATGTTATTTAGGTTTCAGACACTGGAATAAATAGGATAGTAAGAAATCCCCAATGTTTCCCAGGGGAATGTTTGTGTGTGAAATGCAATGCAAACCTACCCCTTTTGTATGTGCCACACTCACGAACAAAATGA